TCCATTTTTTTTTTGTGTGTGTAATTACATTTATTTATATTAAAACATTAATTTTAAAAAGTTCTAGAACTTCAAGTTTGAATGAGATTTGAAACTGTGCTGCTTATATGGACTTCTTGGGATGGGGAACAGGGCAAGAAGAGGTGCTTGTTGGCAGCCAGCCCCTCCATAGACTTGTTCCCAGATTGGTTTTTCACTTCAAAAACGAGTTTTTTCTACTCTGGATTTATAATTTGAAATTGTTTTGGAACAGTGTTTTTCAGGGAAGCTTCCAGAGCGAGGGTTATTATTCTCCCTTTGTAATGTAAGCTGGAAAGAGTAAGTTCACCTCATCTGCATTTCTGATTCTTTACCCAAACCATGTCAGCACAGAACAGGGTATTTGAGCTTGACTTCCACATACTTGTGGAAGTTAAAAGACTAAATGAAAATCCATTATTGGGGGAAGACAAATTCTTTTTTACATCTCCCCAGAAACCTAGAAACATCCCTGTTGTGTTCTGTTTTTGTTTTTTTTTTTTTACTTATTTTTTGTGCTTTATCTGTGTTTAAAAAAGTTGTACTGGGTTATAATGCATTTTATTAACACTATGTACATATTAGCTGCTTTGTGTTTCAGAATGGTAGTAATTGCTTTGTATATTAAAGTGATTCTTGTGAATTTGTGAATTATTGTCATAAAGAAGTGCTTTTTCTTACTGTAACCTTTGTGGTATAAACTGTCATAACTCCCTTTTTACACAAACATTTATGTGCAGTCACATAAACATGCTTTAAAAAAACTCTACAAAGTCTCTTTTTTGAGCAGGGTGTTCTATTTACACTAACTTAGTAGCAAGTGGTAGCTAGATAGGGATGTGGTGTCCTTTCATGATCTGTGGCCTGTTCTAAGTATTCGTGAGGCATTCTCCCCAGGGAGAAGGCTTTTTTAATCTTGATTGAATTAGATGAGTGAGAGGTTAAGTCCTAAAAAACAAAGTTTCTCTTCCACTTCTGATATTTTTAAACCTGCTTTTAGGCATCCATTCTGGTGGCAGTTAGTTCTGTTGTTTAGTAATGTCTGAAAGACTTATGCCTTTCACAGTTAAAATATGCTGCATTTCTCACTTTTAAGCGTTCCTGTAAACCATGTACTACTGATGTTAAGAACAGAACAGAAACAGAAGGCAGCAAAGATTGCAAGGATCGCAACCCACTTATGTAATCTGCAAGGCTGGATCCAAACACTGGGATGAAAGCCAGGAGAACAAATTCAGCACTGAGGTAAACACACCTCCAGTGAAATCAAGGGGAAAGCGGTAAGGTCAGCCCATTACAGCTGGGATTTTGTGGTTTTCACAACTGAGCGTTTTCATAATGCCATTCATGTACTTGCTCAGAAAAATCTACACCTCAGTAATGAGAGAGAATCCCATACAGGGGTTAGTCCATGAGATAAAAATGCAGATTAGCTTGAATTTTGCACTGAAAACTGGGTAACACAGATCCCTGCACAGTCAGTAGTAGGTCAGCTGCTAAACCTGAGCCTTCTGACACTGCTGCAGCTCAGAGTTCTTGGTCAGTAAGATACAGAGCTGAATCTCATACCTGTCTGATACCTTAAGATTTGTATCTTAATCAAACATTATTTTAGTTGCAATGAAATTTTAGAAAAATTTGTTCCTTGCAAAATGGCATGTTTCAGGGATGGTTTCTCAGTCTCACAGCATGTTCATGTCTTACCTGGTCACTCTCCTGTGGCTTGAATCCACTCCCTAGAGTGAGTAAATTTCTCAAGAGACTTATTTGTGTGTCACCCAGGGACCAATGCCCAAACACATCCTCCCTATAGATGAGCTCACATCATCTGCTACCAAACAGGACCAATGCAATGGAACCACCCAAAGGAGAGTGTGATTCTCGAGCACTGGGGTGAACAGGGTGACAGAAAGTGCTTGGGCAGGGGGTTGGCATAGTTGCCAAACAGCCACTCGAGCGTTACCATGCATCGTCTCACATTAGAGCAGGAGCTCACCTGGTACCAGTGGGTTGGGACACCAGAGTTTGCAGGTGTCACTGCAGAGGGCTGCTCTCTGTGCTCACTCCCCAGCTGTTACGGTTCTGCTACTTCTGCACCTCTGGCATGATTCAATCCCAGCCTGACTGACTCCTGACCTCTCCCTAAAGCTGAGTGTGATGGGAAATCAAAAGACCTGTGAAGTGCAACCTGGAACAACAGAAGGCACTGCTGGGTGCCTGGTACAGGTGAGTGTTAGCACTGCCCAGCCAGAATGGACATCAGGTTTCAGCTGAGTTACGTTCTCACGGTTGGTGCCTCCCCCTAAACACTAGCTTTAAAAGCAGCCTCAACTGATATGCACCCTCAACTGATATGCACGTGGTGGTGGCCTAAATGCAGTATTCCTGGATCTGGTTTCCTAAATTTAATGGAGCACCTGCACCCCAGTAGCAGAGGAGAAGGTGTCCCCTTGAAGAGGGTGCCACTTGCTGGGCTGGGAAGGGGCCACTGAGAGCTCAGCTCTGCAGGTCAGGGGCAAGGCACTCACCTGAGCTGCCAGTGTCATCTCATGCTTTTCTCCCCAAGTGTTCATTTATGGGCAGCAGCATTGCTTCAGCCTTCAAACATACTCCCTTGGGTTTGCATACAGCTGCTGTGTAACAGCAGCACAGCAAAAAAAGCCAAACCTGGTCTCTACATGCCTGCTCTGGCAAGAAGGCTGTGGGTAAGAGGAGCCACGGAAGCAACAAGAAATCTGACACTGAAAGCTTAACTGAACAATCAGAAAGAGATGGAATTAAACTGATTTGTTTTAAAAGTACAAAACTAATCCTATTGTCAAAGAAAGGCCTAGGCCAAAGCCCCCTTCTTAAAAGCATGTAGGTTGCTGCACTAGGCTTTATTCTGTGCTATTTAATCAGTCTTTTTAGCATGTCCCTACTATGGCAACAGGACAAGCTGTTACAGCTGTCACTACTGCAAGCTGCAACCTCTTGTGAGGGCCAGCCACTGCCATGTTCCCCATAGACCATGTCCTGGGCACTCACAAGCCCAAGCACCAGCACATTGCTTTCTGGCAGCTCCAGTCCAGGGGGAGCCTACTGTACAGACAAGCCTAATGCCTAATCAGAGACGAGCTTGGAGACAAGGAAACACCAGTGGGGAGGAAAAGGAAGAGGAGTGGCAAGAATTTAGAGCCACACTCCAAAAACTAGAGCCAGAGAGAGTGGGGAGAGCTCATAATTCTTTTCAACCATTGCTCACCCAGCTCACAGGACAAAAAAAGCCACGCCTGGCACATTAAAGCTCATATCATGTTCTGTTTTCAGTCAAGGGTGCTGTCTCCCTTCCCTCAGACTTCAACTCTAGTTTCAGGCTGCAAATTCCCAGCCAGCTGTGTAAGTACTGTTTTAGTGACACCATGTGGCTTCTGAGGATACTGTTGTGTTTCAGAGCAGCAACTCTGAGGCCAAGTCCAGAGCCAAGCAAGGAACTTCGCTGAAAACATGCCAGAGATGTGCCAGGGATGAGCCACAAACCTTCGGGCCTCGTTCATCACAGCGGTGATGATAGATCATTTACAGATAATTTACAGATCATTTATAGATCATAGGTGTCATTTACAGATTACAGCACCTCTGGACCACCGACACTCTGCATCTTTTGCAGTTGGGATGTATGATGGAAGCAGAAGTGATAGAAAGCTCCAAAATGTCTGTAGCCCAAAGCAGCTGCTGGTGTTTGCTTTTGCCAGTGCCAAAGACAAGCATATGCTTAAAGCCTGAACCTGACCTGAGGCTCTGTGAGTTTAAGTTTAAAGCAAAAGTTCCGCATCCACCAGAAAAAAAAAAAAGTAGTAAAGCAATTCTTGCACTTAGAAGTGTAGCTGTCTTCTGTTAGCTCATTGTTTTCATCAGTTTCATTCTTCTACCACTAGAAAGAGAAGGAAGCCTGCTGCTGGTGCAAGCAGGATTACAGGCTGCAGCATTTTCGTATAGAATCTTATGGCATAAACACACAAACATGTTTTACAAGCTCAAGGTATGAAATCAGTTACTTAGAACAGCGTCTAACAACCACTGTGCACTGAAAGCACACTGAAATCTAGACACTGCCCCAAGGTCCTGAGTAATACAAGAATAACTATTTCCCCTGCTACAAAGACTTTACAGCGGCACCCTCCTCTCCTAAATAACAACTCTCAGAGACAGAGGGGGCATAAACGAATGTAGAAAGTAGAAGATTATTTAGCAGTACTTTGAGAGTCAAGGACTGATTTGATATTTAAAGAACAGTTTGAATCTGCATGTTTCACTTTCATGTGCATGTGTATCTCCTCCAAGGAGCCTTTATCTGTGTGGGGGAGACTTGCTAAGGACAACCCGTGAACCACAACCGCTTTGGTACTGCAGGCATAGCCCCCACGTCTGCAAGTCAGGTAAAAATACCACTGATTTCTAAGTTGGCTTACTTGGCAATCTTGATTCCCAGCCCCCTGATCCAGATCTTGTTCTTTGTTTCCCTATTCTTCAATTCAGCAGTGACAGTAATAGAACAACTTTATAGCAGTTGCCTTTGTTTCTTTTTGCCCTTTAAGTGGCTTCTTTTACCACCGCTTTTAAGATGCAAAGGCCTGAAGAGTTAAAACATTTAGAGCTGGAGGATTAGCTTCTATTTCATCCACTTTTCAGAGTTAAAGAAATGATAAGAGGAAAAAAACCCACTGTAACACACGTTTCCCACAGGAACTAAGCGTGGTTTGATTTTAAACAACAGATAATAATAATTTGATAATAATTTTGATGCCTGGAGATTTCTGCAGCTTAAATCAGTTTCAAAAATTACATTTGATAAAAAGTCAGTGGAAGACCCTACACAACTGTATTCCAAAATGAAGCAGAGGTTCAATATGCAGAACAGAAGTGCAGCCCTTGCTGTGTCAGACCAAGTTATCAGACAAGACCATCAGAACAAGAAGCCAGTGAAATAACACAACTGCAACTTTATGCTTAGGATTGAGTGTATTGAGTAGAAACAAAGGGGAGAACTGAACAGCAGCAGTGGTTTATTAACAAGGCGTAGAGTCAAAAGTCATCCTTGCGACTACTCCTCTGTGCTTTGTAGATATGAACATCCTTACTGGAATCATAGTGGACCTCATATACGGAGAAACGGTCTCTCAGCATCTTCAAGAACTTGTGATCCCGTTCATAGCGGATACGACAGGCAAGAAGAATCACAGTTTGCTCTGAGCACAGGTGCTCCAGCGTCTGAAGCAGCTCTGCAAAAGTTTCTTCCAGATAAACGATGTCTGCACCCAGGACGAAGTCAAATGCTCCTGGAGGGAAGTTATCCAGGTCTTTTCCCCAAGTCAGCTCCTTCACCACAGCTCTCGGACGTAGTTCAGAGGGTAAATTAGCCTGTACGTTTGACTCCAGGAATTCCAGTGCTGCCTCCCTGTCTGTCATAGTAACACGAGCACCTAAGTAGTACAGGAGTACACAGCTCAAACAGTCAGAGTCCATAAATACAGCATGCAGAATACAATGCTTTAAGTCCAGCAGGCTCCTTGTGAAACATTAACAATTTCCCTGAACTGCCTGATTAAAAACAAACAAACAAAAGAACAAAACACCCAAAACCCCCACTATCTACCTACATCCTACCCTTCATCAGTCACTTAAGAATATACAGTGCAGATTAAGTTGGGAAGGGAACAGAAAGTTTTCTAGTGCTTTTTCTTAGTGCATGAAAGTCACGGAGTTACCTTCTGTCTTTCCATAGGCAACAAAAGAATGAATTAGAGGGGTTGTTACCATTAACCTGCTTCAATCCCATATTTTTCAGTAGGAGACAGGCAGCTAGAGAGCCTCTTTCACAGGTCAAAGTTATGCCTGTGTGATTTTGCACGGCATGACTGTATTTTGTCAAAGGCTCTGTTTCTATTATTTCAGTAGGCACCTTGCACAGCCACTAGAGTTTTGAATTACAAAGTTAACCTGGGACAGGTAGCACAAATTTAACAGTCCCAGTCCCTGCTTCAGCCACAGACAGATCCACCGGCAAATCACTTCATTTCTCCAGACCTTGGCTTGCCTGTCTGCAAGACAGGCTAACACAGCTTACGCAAGCTCAGAGCCGTTTCTGTCTGTAGCTTTATCTGCATACGAGGACATGTGGAAGACGGGAAGCTCAGCACTTGTTCCCCGGGGGAGAATAGCTGCAGAGCTGATTGCTGCTGAGCTTCCTGCCATGGTAACAGGCGTCAGCCTTAACAGGGTCCCGCCATAAAGTAAACTGCAGTGGCACCATCACTACAACAAATATCGCAGCAGGCTCTCAAGTCTAACGAGAAAGGAAGATGACTCAGAGAGGAACCATCACAGTTCACATATGCAGCTTTGGTGCTCACACTATACCAGATGTAAAAGCACTAGTTTTACTACAGTTGTAAAGTGTTTTAAATGAGCAAACAAAAAAGCCCTTACCTAATAAAGTGGCCACTATTCCCAACAATCCAGTCCCAGCTCCCAGCTCAATCACAGACCGATCCCTGAGATCAATGCCTTCCATCTCCAGATAAGCACACAGGACAACAGCCTAAGCCAAGAGACAAAGACAATTTAGCACAGGGCTCATTTCAGTAATACCAAACACAGGGTTTCTGGCTTAACCCAAGAGAAGGTTATGGGAAGAGTCAGGCACTTCAGGTCTGCAGCAAGATTTCCTTCAACCCTTCTCTGCCTCCTGTGTGCACATGTGGTCTTTTTATGAGTTTTACGGAAGGCTTTTGCTGGCAGAAAGAAAAAAGAACCATAGAGGTTACAACTCAGATGTGGTAAGTGCTTCATGAATCCCCAAACATAACAGGAGGTAGAAGGAGTTGCATTTGGAAAGGAAAAGCTGAAGTGGTGTCAAACACTAGTGAATGAACACAGTATTGCAAAAGACAAGAATAAGGCTTCATAATCTCTTACATAGTATTTCAAAAGGTTTCTGCACAACACTGGCATACCATCAGGAAGGACAATAGGGAATGTAAAGAAATAACTCTTCTATCTGGTTGTATCTAATGTGTTGTATTTTATATCAATCTTGACAAGGAGCTCTCTCCAGAGCAAGTTCTGTCAAAGCTGATGTCCAGAAAGACCAACAGCCCTGTACACCAATTCATTTGAGGAGTTTGCTAAAACTGCTATGCTTGTTCTTTTAAACTAGAGGTAAAAGAGCAATTTGTGTGTGGACCTGAGACCTGGCTGACGGGAAGCCCTTGGATTTCTACAGTGGTGCTGTGAGCAACTGCCCTGCAGCTTTGGGCCTGCCACAAACCCCTCTGTTTTGGACTGTTCCTATCCCCAAGATAAAGTCTATCAGCAGTCCTCCTGGAGGCTACAAGCAGCGATCCATGCTGTGCTCTGAAGGGTGCCAAGCAAACATCACCAGCCATTGTTAAGAAATGGGTGAGAGTTCTGTGAGTTATGCGGGATATTTCCTGTATTTGGTAGTGGCCGTGCAAGATTTAGGTGGCCCATTTCCCTTGAAGTCCTTCAGGATCTCTTATGAGGGAAGGAAAAAAAAAAAAGGTAAAGCAGAGTTTAATATTTTCTTTCCGGAGGAAGGAAAAAAAAAAGAAAATAAAAGAAAAAAGAAGAAGGAAAAAAGCCTTCCCTTTACATTTTAAAGTTAAATAATTTTATAAGGTGATCCTGAAAGCCCGGCAAGCGCCACAGGCAGCCACGGAGCGCAGGAAAGCTCCGCTCGGCGTGAACACCTACCGCGTCCCAGACCACGGCCGCCACCCCCAGCCCCCGCCAGTCCTGCTGCAGGCGGATGGTGCGGCTGGCGAAGTGGAAGGTGGCCGAAGGGCTGTGCAGCTGCCGCGCTCCCCAGCCGGCTCCCTCCTCGTAGGGCACCAGGGCCATCCCGTCGCCGGCGACTGCAGGCCCCGGCTGGCTGCGGCCTCGGCCGCCGGCCGGGCCCTGCCCGAGCCCCGCGCTCCCCGAGCCGCGGGAAGGGGGTGGCCCGGGTCCGCCACCGGCAGAGCCCCGGCCCCTCGCCTGGGCCCGGCTCCTCGCCTGGGCCCGACCCGCTCCTCCGGAACCGCAGCCCCGGCGCTGCCGCAGAGCGCCCGGCCCGGCCCCCAGCGCCGCAGCCCGGGGCGGGCGCGGCCTCCTCGCACCGCCCGGACGGGAACGGCGGCGCCGAGCGGCCGAGCCGGGGGGCGATCACAACCCGGGCACAGCGGGCCGCGCTGCGGTGGGCTGGGCTGGGCTGGGCTGAGCGCTCCTGCCCCTCAGCCGCGACGGGAGCGGGCTGGGGGACAGGACGGAAGGCGACCCGGGGGTGGTGCGGGGCTGTGCCCGTGGCCGGCGCTGGGGAGAAGCCGCGCGGTGCCTCCTGCGGGAGGCTGGGCCCGGAGGAGCTCCCGCGGACCTACCGCCACACCACAAGGTACGGCGTTTCCCTGTGGGACATTGCCAATGTCCCCGCAGCCTCCCTGCCGTGCCAGCCTCTGGCTTTTGTTTCGGGAGTCTTTGGAAGGCAGTGCAAAGGAAGGCGTTTGTCCAGCCCACCGGCCTCGTCCTCCATTGCTGGCACGGAGAGCATTATCACTGCAAGTGCTCATCACCAGCCTGGAAGCGGTCCCTGGGACTGGGTAACCATGGCAAAAACAGAGCAGTTCTTCTGCATCTCAGTGGAGCACTGACCAAGGCAGCACAGGCAAAGCTGCTCTGGGCTGGCGGTGAGGTGGTAATGCTCCTGTGGCGCTGTTTGTGCATGGGCTTCTCTTCACCTTTGGCTCCATTTAATCTCGTTTGGCAAAACAACACAGTGCTCCTCTCCTTTGTTACTTGAACTAGCTCCAAAGACTGCTAAAGGCCATGGGAGAGCCAGGGAAGTGTCCTGGCAGCCCTTGCACTCTGGCTGCCCGGAGGCTGTGCTGCAGGTACTCCACAGAAAGGCTCGGCGCCTCTAACTGTGCTCCTCAGCCCCTGGGAGCAGGGCAGGGGAGCAGCACACCTTCTCTGCACCCATCTCCAGAGGCTCTGTGGCAGCGTGGTATATCCCAGTGACACCACCGATGGGGCAAGGCCAGCCCTTCGAAGCTGGGGAGCCTAACAAGCTCCAGAAAACATCCCCACTATTTCCCACAGGGAGCAGCAAATCTGACTAGCAGACAAAAGCAAATGTGGTAACATCTAAATACTGGCAATTTCAACAGAGTGGGACAGGATTCATGAAAATCTTTTTCAAGAATCATTACAGGCTGCACAGGGGTAACAGGAAATAAAGCTTGTCTTTAGGGTTCTGCTGCTGTAGGAGAATGGAAACCAAAATTTCACTTGCCCCAAACCGGTTCATACTTGAATTATGGCAACTCAGACTTCTCCTCATAAACATGCCAGAACGAGTGTGATGATTCAGCTTACTGTGGTTTTATGTCCTAAAGTACTGGTCCCTTGCCACTACTGCTTTTGAGTTTGAAATTGCTTGTGCTATTATCTCGATTATTTTTTTAATTATTTATATAGGCAGTGTGGGAAAAGCAATGAGAATGATTACACTTGAAATGAGAACTCTGTTTGAATGAGTTTTTGAGTCACTTACACTGTGCCTAAACTACACCATCAGGCAAATAGAGGAAAACTCCCAAATGGCACAAAGCTTTGGCCTCTGCTTCCAGAACCACGTCAGCCTTGGGATCTCCAACCAAAATGTGGAGGAGTGTGGCAGGGCTCCAGTGCTCCCAACTGCCTCCTTTCTGCCTCAGATGATCAGTTTTCTTCTCCTGCAGTCATAAGACCAAGGGTCTGGCTGAAGAGCAACTGGAGTGAAAAAAATGCTGTATGTGAAAATTTATACATTTGTTCTCAAAGATGACAATGCAGCAAGTGCTTTTATCCCAATAATGTGGGTTTGTTAGGATGCCCTGAATGTCTTTGGAGCCCAGCAGATTCTCTACTGATCCTGCCCTGCTTCCAGAAGTATTTCCCCTTCTTCCCTGATAAAGTTGCTTTGGCACTGACTTCCACGAACCTTAGACCGGAGATCAGAAATTACTTTCCAGATCATAACTGGATAGTGAAGCTTTAAAAGAGAACCAAGTCCACTAGAATTTCAGTCTGGGCCCTGATTCCCCATATTCATTCTAAGCCTACATCTACCTGCTCTTCCCTTTTCTGTATCCATTTTCTAAGAAGATGCAGCAGCTGGGTATTACAGTGGCAGAGAAAGACACTTGGTTTCTTCTACCTTTCCTGACAATAGAAGGATAAGAAAAACTCAACAACACAGAATTATGGCTAAAACAGATGCCCAGAACTGAAATGCTTTTTCTCCCAGCAGGGCTAAAGCTCAGCACAACAGTAAAATTGCGAGAGCATAGCCTGGTTCAGCTTTTAAGCACTGCAGAGGGCTATAAGGATACCTAAGCTGCACATAATCTTGCCAAGTAGGAAACAGCTGACTTTAAGGTAAGCAAGAATGAGTTAAAGTTTAAAGAAACACTGATTCAAGTCCATTCTTACCTAATTCAACTACTTGATAGAGCAGGCATAACGTAGCCAACTGTAAGTCCTGCCACCTCAGATTCGATTAAGCTGCCCAGGGTAATTAACACAAAGTGTTTAAGAGCGATGGTCCTTGTAATACTTAGAAGATCAAAGAATCAAGTAGATAAGATAGAAATGAGTACAAATTATTTTGAATCTTTACTAATATAACTCCCTTTCTGAAATCTTCTCTTTGCTGCTTAATATGTAAAATCCTCTCTTAGAAATGAATGTGACAGTTCTTGTGATAGTTCTGCAGACGCTGGATGTAGCGCATGGCTGCGCATGGATTTTGGAGACATCCATGGTGGGAAAATACTGCATCTCTCATGCAGTCTCCGGTTACCAAGGCAAACGCAGGTATAAATAGAAACAATCTGGGGTTTTTTTTTAAACTCTATCTAGAAACCTGTGTTGTTGATAACCCTCTAACAGCAACGCCTTATTCCAAATGGTTCTGTTCCACATTTGTGTGGAAACTTCTGGTCATACACATTTAATCCTTTCCTCCCTAAATAAATGGCAGCTGCTTCTGGTTGTCATTCCACTCAGATATAAAAATTTTCTTCGAAGTAAAGTTTGTACAAATATCTGTTTTGCTAAAAGCTTTCATCAACCAAATGAACAAGAGCTAACACAAAGCTTGGAGGAAAACCCAGAAAAGAAAGAGGTCTTTCTCCCTAAGTATCACCATTAAGTGGCCGTTCAAATGACTAGCACTGAAATGATTTAACAGTTTTTACATTTTCATCTTCACCAGTAGCTTCCAGATTCTCCACACCCATGAGATAGATGGGGTGGTGAATAACTTGCTGTTAAATACAAGGGGAATACGCAGAGATTAATTTGGCTGATGACAGCTTGCAGTTGCAGAATAAAGACAGCCTCATCTTGAACTGATTTGGATCATCTTTGAAACCAATGGGGTGAATTAAAAATAAAAATTTAAGTTTCTGCAGAAACTGATGGGTTATCAGAAGACCTTACAACTTGCTGCTTCAGCAAGATCCTTGCAATAAATGTTAAATATTGAAATAAATGTATGATTTGGTTTAGCGTGTCATCTCTGTTACACACAGAGTTACATTAAACAATGGAAGTAATGATCAAAAGTATGAAGATGTATAATTTCATAAGTGCTTGAGCTGAAATACAGGAAGTTTCTGCAACCTCTGAAGAGGGAATTATTCCCATCAGTAACATTACATTCACTCCTTCAACCTTGCATCTTGATAAAGTGTCGTATATAATCATCATGTTTATTAAAATGTCTTCTTACAGAAAGATCGCTTAGCTTTTAGTGGACTGAGCTCTCAAAGGCCTTGCAGGTCTGAAAACTGACATTATTCTGTATTTTTAGTTAAGGCACAAAAAGCAAAATGAGTAAGTTGTTCTTCACAAGCAACCACTGCATTCTCAGCTGCACTTCAGTTGCTGGAAACCTCCTCCACTTATCACTGCGCTTTCAGATGTCCACAGACCTACAGCCTTACCGACATCTCCAGCTGCTGGACTTCCAGGCCTTGAGATGCCATATGTTGGGTCTTGTGACAGAAGAGTTCATAATCCACTGGAGCAAGGCTGACCCGTGAGCAGACATGGGTGCACGCAGGGAAGGGCTGCTCCAGCAGACATGGATGCACACCTGGAAGGGCTGCCCCAGCAGTGCTCCCGTGAGCACAGGGCTGTGGTAGGGAAGCAGCTAGGCGGGGCTGTGATTGCCCTTCTTTCCCAGCAGCTTCTGTACCCATCTCAGCTGGCTGATGGTTGTAAGCCAGAGTAACATGCGTCTGGATACTGGAAAAATGCTGCAACACCTCCCTTTTATGGGGTCTGCGTATGGATCTAGAGGTTTAACATTAGGTGGCCAAATTTATGATGTGTTGTATAGGTGCAATGTTAGGTAACTGGAGAGGAAATCACAGTGCAAGTAATGCACTGTATTAATTTAGGACTAGTTAACGGCAACTAATTTAAAACAATTATAAGGACAAGCAGACATCAGCTATAGCATTTATACAGATGCAAAGGCATCTGCCTCAGTGCAGAGGTTACCCTTTTAAAAGCAGGAAGAATCCAAGTTTATGAAAGACGGGGTGGGGAGTGTTAGCGTTATTTGTAATGGTATTGTCAGTGTTTCTTGTCTCAAGTTCTTAGAAAGAAAATCCTTCAGACAATGGAGAAGATGGAAGAGTCAACTCTAAGCAATTCCAGGTACCTTAAAGCTAACAGGAAGGGCCCCTCAGCGCTGCTTTCCGGCCTTTGGTGGCCCAGGGTTGGAATTAAACGTGCAGAAGTTTACCCTAAACAAACTTGCTGCAGGGCTTACACATGCACAGTTAGACTTTTCTGAATAAAGTCACCATTCATGTTAATGTTTGAGTTAAAATACTGACAAGCATTTTCCTTTTCCTCGAAGGAAATTTGAATCCATGACCTGCAGCAACAGGTATTTCTAATGCTTGATACATCAAAATGGTTCTGCCAGCCCTCTGCCTAACAGTGCACAAAGTACAGCTTTGCAGGCCTCCGTCCTTCTCGGTCCCAGCACATTTCAGATTCTCTTCCCAGGCACTAAGTCTCCATGAACTCTACTTTAGTCTTTGATAACTTTATTTTACCTTAAGACAAAACGAAGGCAGGAGCAGAAAAGAAAAGCTAAAGTAGAGAAACGTTAACTCCCACATGCTGGTGCTGTTGGCATCCCTGCAGTGATCCAGATGCTGTCATGCCAGCCAAGCAGCCTCTGCATTGCCTGCAATGACATCTTAGATTGCCGCAGAGGCAAAAGGACGGATTTAATCAATGACAGCAGCACTGCAGTCTGTCCTTACACTATGAAACACAGCCTCCCAGCCCTGGTTTGCATGTATTCACTGCTAGCCAGGAGATTTAAAAGTGTGAAAATTTAGGGCTACTAAAAATCCACCTTGTGTGTTCTGAACAACCTCCCTGGTTACTGTTTTTCCCCCAAACACTGGAATATTCTATTTCCCTAACTACAGTTTTGCTCCAGGCTTTTTCATTTAAATGGCTGTAGTCTTATGTTACTTGTCAGCTTCAGGAGACAATCACACGTGCAAAATTTTTGTCCTGTCAGCTGGTAGTTTCAAAACAGGATGCCTATTTTTCCCCCCATTATTTGCAACAGTGAGACACAGAAGTCTGAGCTTTTGTTTTCAGTTGGTTATGCAGGTTCAACCTGGTGAATCATTCTTCCTGCAGCTACATTTCCAGGAAAAGACAAAGGCCTGGCTCTTCTCCAAGATATCCAAGTCAGATCAGAAAGCACTCCTTCTCCCACAGCTGGGACACTTTCTAAGAAGGGAGAAATTGATAAAACACATCCCAGAGCTGGTGTCATCACCCTGCAGACAGGCAAGGAGGTGCATGGCCTTGGAAAGGCATGTGCAGTACTAAGTCAAGGTGAAGATAATAGCAGAGTTTACTGGATTTAAGATTCTTGGCCCTGTGAAACACAAGCATGTGCAAGGAGCCATTCACCATTTCTGGGACTGATGGTTACTGTGAAGCTGGATGATTTCCGGAAAATCCTACAATTTAATTTCAAGCACTTTAGACTCTCATCTTGTTGCAGTTGGTGTGGACAAGAACATAGCCTTGGAGTTGGGAATTTTTCAAGAGCTGTTATTCAGATAGAAGCTGGTAACTATGGTTTCAGACGTCTCCTGTCAGGGATACTGCTGCTCGCAGATGAAGGGAGGCCTGGTCTTTCATGATGAGGCAAAGGGCTATGGGCTTGTGTGGTTGTGAATGCAAGCACTGAGCTTTCAGAGAGGGAGTTAAATAAAAACATGCACAAATCTGCCTACACGTAACCATTGCAGGAAATGTGAAGACTTGTCTGAGAAGTGGAGTTCCTTTGAATGCATGCAGACACTGGCTCACATGTACTGGGCAAATGGGCCACGTGAAGAGACAGAATTACCTTACCTTTAAGCCCACAAGCCAAAACACAGCTGGTAGCACTAATATTAGTCCTGTCAAGCCTGGCAGTCTTCATTTGTTATGCATCTTGCAAATAATTATACATATAGTTAAGCTTACAGCTCAGAAGCTGCATTCAGTAGTTGGCAGGGCATGTTCCTCGCTAGTATTGCTCCTCTGACCTCATTAGACATGAGGAATGAATCTTTTTAATCTCTGCATATTGGGAATATAGGTTGCTACTCCTTTGGTCATCACTGAAATCTGAGTTAGGGTTTGTTCCAGGATCCTGCCTGGCCTTCCTTAAAGGCTGTGTAGATTTCTCCTGGAGATTACAGCAACTTCCCCAGAGGGCTTGAATTAGAATTTGCTTCCCGCATTTTGGAAAGTTGCTTTCCCTTTTGTGAAAATTAAAGCACCTGTGAGCGAGGGGGGGTTGCTGCCCACTGGCTGCCCTACTCAGAGAGAAGGGGTGGTAACTGAGGGTCCCATGGCACAGACCTTTCTTCCTTGAGCAGAATGAAAAGGGCTTGGATCCCAATAGTCCGTAGTAAGCTATTTTCAGCTCATGCATTCATTATTGCCAAGATCCACCACCCAAAATGCCTACTTAAGTAAAATGTGGAACTAGGTACGTGCTGCCCATTGTACATCAAAGTAATTGATTTTTTTAATAATGGAAACTGTCCGATGATTCACTGGGGTAAATCAAGCAAAACAGTAGAAAGATGAGACAGAAAATAGGAAGAGAACCAGGACCAGTAATAAATCATGATAGATGGTATTCGGTATATTGCTGTAGCAGTAAGTCAATAGAATGCCAAGCTGCATAAATAAAAGAGAATGTGTTTCATCTCTGCAGGGTGTTGCTTAGGCTACACCTATTAACAGGATCACCTGGTTCTGCAGACAATACACACGGCAACAGGTTTTGCCATATTATCCTGATAAATCAGATCTGTATTAAGATGTTAAGAGTTACTTTGCCAAAATGAAGGGGGAAATGAATATTCCTCATTAAGGCAGCTAAAGAAAAACATGCACAGATATGAAAAATTACTCTTTAATGGTGTACTGAGGTATGTGGAAGCGTAAGCTTAACTTCTTCTGGAATGACGTGGAGGTGGAAGAGTTTGCTGTTTCTGTGATTTCCAGGGATTAAAGTCAGCTTCCTCTTGCTTAAGACCTACAAGAATAAGGCTACACAGGGAAACAGACTACTGATTTCTTTCCTCCCTCTGCTCGTTTTTATAAATCCTGATACTCCACAACAGTGCTAGCGCAGGGCAAGAGCGACCTTCATCTCTTCCCCCTTGCAGCATTACACAACAAGTATGAGACCCATGGGAAACTTCAGCCTCTGGGAGGCAGAGGAACCGCAACCTTCACACTCAAACAGCAGTGAGACACGTTACAAACTCCAGCCCCTCCAAGTTCCCAGCACTTTTTATCTATCGGCACAAGTATGTGGGGGTTTGGCTGTTGCCCTCGATGGCTGGGCCCTGGTGCTCAGCTGCCTGGTGAGCCACTCTTGCTCTCTTCTTCACCCTTCAACAAGGATTTTCCACTGCCTAAAACCGCAGCTTAGGCAAAGGACTCCCTTGAGGCTGCTTCAAAGCCGAGAGTTAGCAGAGGTCCCAGCTTGCTGCTGGGATCCCACCGGGCACTTGCTGTGGCTGAACCTCCCTCCAGTGAATCTGGGCAGCCCCACTGCACTTGCTGGCACGGCTGGCATGGCTGCAAGGAACAGGACAGACGTGGTTTTAGGCATGGACACTCAGCATGGCAGCTGTCTGGCTGAGATGTGCAGGTTTGCCTGTGACTCCCACCACTGCTCTGGATGGAGCAGCTCACCTCTGCTGGCACTGAGTCACTGGAAGGGGCCCAGCAGTGCAGCAGGAGTGCAGCTTTCTCAGCCACTGCTGCTCTTTAAAATAGTCAGCCAGGTGCAAACAAGGGAGGGTATTGCTCTTCTGGTGTAAGAGTAAATTACACCAGTTTTCATAGTACATAGTGCAGATGCAAGCCAGCTCTTATTCTTGCTTGGGAATTAACTTCACTAAACCACACCAACCCTGTAACTTCTCTTTCCCCA